CACACACACGCACGCACCTCTGAAATTTACTTTTGGAAATCGTAAATTATCATAAATGAAGCAACGATAATTTTGGATTGCAAACAATCAAGATTTTTTTTTTTAATTGCTCGGGCTGCAGGGGCATTTTACCCCCCTGATGCATCACTCGGTTACGTCTAACAACGTCACTCAGACGTTTATCTTGTACTAGAGAGACTTAATCCGAGGTCTGTTCTTACACTATCTTAAGTTGGAATGGGTTAGGTCAAGTTAGGGTAGCTTACAGTTGTTTAGGATAAGTTAGGCTAGAATAGGCTAAGTTAGCTTGTGGTAGGGAAGGTTACTTTAAGTTAGATTAGGTTATGCGAGGGTAGATCGCAGTAGTTTAGGTGAAGTGAACACAGGTTACAGTAAGTTAGACCAGGTGAAGACAGGTTACAGTAAGTTAAATTAGGTGAAGACAGGTTACAGTAAGTTAGACTAGGTGAGGACAGGTAAACAGTAGTTTAGGCTAAGTTGGGATAACTTAGTTAAGTTACGTTAGGTAAGGTTACTTATTTTGAAGTAACTCAAAAGAACCAGCTAGAATTTCACACCATTAAATTTAGTCCATTAAAGTCAACGTTTGTCGATGTTCCAATTTTAAAATAAAATAGAAATGAAGAAATTACACATTTTTTTTTTTGTATATATTGAAAGAGTGACCAAAATTTATATACACTGCAGTGAAATCTTCGTAAAAGTATATAAACAAGTGCTAAGTGATCAGCTGAGCTGATATAAACAACCAGGTCACTAAACAGCTGAAACAAGGGACAAGAACTAGAGCTTGTCTATGCGACATTAGTGAGAGATTCGTCCATACAAAATTTGCATCTGTGGTCACATCTGGGCCAGTACTAACCTTCCCAGTGTACAGAAATAAACCAGACTGACTCTTACTAACCCTCGAGTAGTATAATACAAAAGTCTTCGTCCGTCATACCCGCTGACGACAACTAAAATATACTCGTTCTAGGAAAAACTTACTGTTGTTGTTATTGTGGAACATATAAGGCGAGTGAATGTGGGGTTTCCACACTCTTAAACCCATCACTAGGGTTAAACCAGCGTGGGTTAGAGGTTAGATAGAGTACTGACTTGGTAACGTCAGTACTGCCTCGCTGCGGCCTGAGACATTATCGTTACGTTTGAATTGTGTCTCGCTCGTAGTGATGTGACGTCACAGATTATGGGTATGGGAGGGGTGAAAAATATAGCTGCATATCTTCAGAGTGTTCAACGCACCAAGTTCCCTCATCTTTTGACAGCAGAAAATGGTGTAATACACTTAGAATTTCGGTATATATCACAGTAAACTTTCTCTTGTAAACCTACTCTGTTGTAAATACGATTTAAAATGTGCAGCCCAAATTGAATAGGTCGTGAAAAAGGCCTTCAGAGCACGTGGTATTCAGTTATGGATGGGCTTGTTCAAACTGCATTTTCAAAAACAGCATGAACAACTCTTATAAGATCTTACTGAAATAATTAAGGAAGTGCATCCATTCTTTAAATCCTCAATCATAAAACATGAAAAATATATATATATTAAATTCTATTTTGTCTTTGATTATCGCATATTTCTTAGCATGTACTGTCACTTCAACATCTTATTGTCAAAGTCTGTTGGCAGTTAATATGATATATATATACTATATATATATATTTATAATATTATTATATATTATATATATTATCATATATATATATATATATATGTATATATATAATTATATATATTTTATATACTTATTGATTTATATATAATATATATATATATATATATATATATATATATATATATATATATATATATATATATATATATATATATATATATATATATATATATATATATATATATATATATATATATATATATATATATATATATATAAATGTGTTTTCAAATATCACTGACATACAAAAAAGAGTGTAGAGGAGAGGGGACGAAGCCTTGACCCACATCAACCAGCTCAGTAATGTTGCCACATTTTAAACATCAACACAGGTTACAATGCCAACTTTTATTCGGAGGCGACGAGGAGATTTTAGCCGAGTGTTAAAATATGTTCACTAGGTAAAAGCGGGAAGAACCGCAGCTTGAGAGGGCAAGAAAAAATAGCAAACGAAGGGAAAACCTAAGAAAATTCAAAGAAAGTGCACATTGTTTGAGAAATAGAATGATACTTAGAGTATGAGGGGAAAAAATGAGAAATTTAATGTCACTAAGGTAGAAAATACAGGAAAATGAATAACAGAAATTTTTAGGACAAATGAAAAAGTTGCAGAGTTTCTAAGCAATGCAGTGCAAAGTCAGGAACTGCAGTGAAAAGTCAAGAACTGCAGTGCAAAATCAGGAACTGCAGTGCAAAGCCAAGAACTGCAGTGCAAAGTCAGGAACTACAGTGCAAAATCAAGAAATGGAGTGCAAAGTCAGGAACTGTAGTGCAAAGTCAAGAACTGCAGTGCAAAGTCAGGAACTGCAGTGCAAAATCGAAGTGAATCTGGACTGCAGTGCAAATCAGAAACTGCAGTGAAAAGTCAGGAACTGCAGTGCAAAATCAGAAACTGCAGTGCAAAGTCAGGAACTACAGTGCAAAATCAAGAACTGCAGTGCAAAGTCAAGAACTGCAGCGCAAAGTCAGGAACTGCAGTGCAAAGTCAGGAACTACAGTGCAAATCAAGAACTGCAGTGCAAATTCAGGAATTGCAGTGCAAAGTCAGGAACTGCAGTGCAAAATCAGGAACTGGAGTGTAAAGTCAGGAACTGCAGTGCAAAATCAGGAACTGCAGTGAAAAGTAAAAAACTGCAGTGCAAAGTCAGGAACTGCAGTGCAAAATCAGGAACTGCAGTGAAAAGTCAGGAACTGCAGTGCAAAGTCAGGAACTGCAGTGCAAAGTCAGGAACTGCAGTGCAAAGTCAAGAACTGCAGTGCAAATTCAGGAATTGCAGTGCAAAGTCAGGAACTGCAGTGCAAAATCAGGAACTGCAGTGCAAAGTCAGGAACTACAGTGCAAAATCAAGAACTGCAGTGCAAAGTCAGGAACTGTAGTGCAAAGTCAAGAACTGCAGCGCAAAGTCAGGAACTGCAGTGCAAAATCATGAACTGCAGTGAAAAGTCAAAAACTGCAGTGAAAAGTCAGGAACTGCAGTGCAAAATCAGGAACTGCAGTGAAAAGTCAGGAACGGCAGTGCAAAGTCAGGAACTGCAGTGCAAAGTCAGGAACTGCATTGCAAAATCAGGAACTGCAGTGCAATGTCCGGAACTGCAGTGCAAAGTAAGGATCTGCAGTGCAAAGTCAGGAACTGCAGAAAAAAAGGCAGGAACTGCAGTGGAAAGTCAGGAACTGCAATGCAAAGCCAAGAACTGCAGTGCAAAGTCAGGAACTGCAGTGCAAAGAACAGCAAAGCTAAACAAAGAACTTCGGTATAAAGCAATGAACTGCAGAGCAAAGCCAAGAACTGCAATGGAATGCAAAGAATTGCAGTGCAAAGCAAAGGCAGTACAAAGAAGTGGAGTGCAAAGCCAGGAATTGCATTGCAAAGAATTGCAATTCAAAGAACTTAGTGCAAAGCAAAACTGCAGTGCAAAGTTAAGAACGCATGATACAAAGTTAAGAACGCATGATACAAAGTTAAGAACGCATGATACAAAGTTAAGAACGCATGATACAAAGCTAAGAACGCATGATACAAAGTTAAGAACGCATGATACAAAGTTAAGAACGCATGATACAAAGTTAAGAACGCATGATACAAAGTTAAGAACGCATGATACAAAGCTAAGAACGCATGATACAAAGTTAAGAACGCATGATACAAAGTTAAGAACGCATGATACAAAGTTAAGAACGCATGATACAAAGCTAAGAACGCATGATACAAAGTTAAGAACGCATGATACAAAGCTAAGAACGCATGATACAAAGTTAAGAACGCATGATACAAAGTTAAGAACACATGATACAAAGTTAAGAACGCATGATACAAAGTTAAGAACGCATGATACAAAGCTAAGAACGCATGATACAAAGTTAAGAACGCATGATACAAAGTTAAGAACGCATGATACAAAGTTAAGAACGCATGATACAAAGTTAAGAACGCATGATACAAATTTAAGAACGCATGATACAAAGTTAAAAACGCATGATACAAAGTTAAGAACGCATGATACAAAGCTTAAGAACGCATGATACAAAGTTAAAACGCATGATACAAAGCTAAGAACGCATGATACAAAGCTAAGAACGCATGATACAAAGTTAAGAACGCATGATACAAAGCTAAGAACGCATGATACAAAGTTAAGAACTGCATGATACAAAGTAAGAACGCATGATACAAAGTTAAGAACGCATGATACAAAGTAAGAACGCATGATACAAAGTTAAGAACGCATGATACAAAGTTAAGAACGCATGATACAAAGTTAAGAACGCATGATACAAAGTTAAGAACGCATGATACAAAGTTAAGAACGCATGATACAAAGTTAAGAACGCATGATACAAAGTTAAGAACGCATGATACAAAGTTAAGAACGCATGATACAAAGTTAAGAACGCATGATACAAAGTTAAGAACGCATGATACAAAGTAAGACGCATGATACAAAGTTAAGAACGCATGATACAAAGAATTAAGAACGCATGATACAAAGTTAACAGAACAAAGCTTAACGCATGAACAAAGTTAAGAACGCAGTACAAGTCTAGGAACGCATGATACAAAGTTAAGATGCATGATACAAAGTTAAGACAGCATGATACAAATTAAGACGCATGATACAAAGTTAAGAAACGCTTGATTACAAATATAAGTACCGATAATACAAAGTTAAAAGTGATATAATTAAGAACATAATACATAAGTTAAGAACGCTATACAAATAAAACCATGATACATAAATAATAAAAGCATGATACAAAGAAGAAGAATAAAAGTAAGAACGCATGATACAAAGTTAAGAACGCATGATACAAAGTTAAGAACGCATGATACAAAGTTAAGAACGCATGATACAAAGTTAAGAACGCATGATACAAAGTTACAGCACAACTTTGAGAAGGTTAAGAGAGTCAAGGTCTGGGTTCCTTTTCTACCACTGTTGTTGCTCTCTACTACACACTATATCATTCTTATACACAAAAATAGACATCACTTTGATTTAGATATAGCTTCCGGATAATAATAATAATAATAATAATAATAATAATAATAATAATAATAATAATAATAATAATAATAATAATAATAATAATAATCATAAGAAGAAGAATAAAAATAATAAAAGTCGTTGATATTCACTAAAAAATCTTCACCTGATTTTTATTTTCCTTTTGTTGACTTAAATAATGTCTCACCAGAGTTGATCTATAATTTAAAGAAAAAAGAGATTGAAAGATAAATTCATTGTTGTTTTGACAATAGTGGGAGGAAGGAAATGATTGACAAGTGAGTTACCAACTATCACATTATTGACATTGTTTACTGCCGGGTCAAACAACTTCGCACTTAACCTTCTGTTGTTTTGTTTAGTTGTTGATTTTAACATAAATTTTAACTCCTTGTAATATCACTCAAGTTACGGTTCATTTTCATGGTTCGTTTTAAAGTTTGATATCGGGGACTAATGTGATTTTTTTTTACTTCATCTACCAAAAAAAAAAAAATTTTAAGGGCTTCCAAAATTGAGCTGTGCTTAGTGGGGTACAACCAGGCAGTAATGTTGAAGACAGTGTTAACCAACCTTCGCTCATTAGGTCGTAATTCACATACCTTATATCATCATATTTTGACCTAAGAGCACCTTTAACACTTACTTCGGTGTCTGACAAGAATTCATGTCTTTTTTTAAGGAGTGTTTATGTGTTAAACTAAAAAAAAAATTGATAATGATATTTACAGTCAACATAAATAGACAGAATTTCAACATATACAGAGAAAAAATACCTAAAAAAAAGACAGTAAAAAATCACAATATGCGTCTCTATACCGTGATAGCAAAGGGGCGAGAATACAGGCAGTGGTCGTGGCCTTAAAGCTAGGTGTCCCCACTCACAGATACAAACAGAAACCTTAACAAGGAAACTAGCTAATTGGGTCGTTTAGCGCTGCTTTAGACTGGCAGACATGCGCCTACCAGGCGCGGCAGGCCCTCCACGACCACATCAACTGGCCGGACAAATTTGGCACATACGAAGTGAATCGTTAAAAACTAATTAAACATTAGTCACTGTGAAACGATACTTGACAGCTTAACGACAATCAATGTTCATTTGTTCTTGCTTGTGGGGAACTGTGGCGGAAACTGGGGCAATGTAGGGTGGATGTGGATCCCCCAGGTAGCAAGGGGAGGAGGGTAGGCCTATAGTTAACTGGTAATGAGGGGCATGTGAGAAGTATATAAGTAGGCCTATTGTCTGACGTCGAGAAAGTTCCAACAAACTCACTTTTTTCCTCTTTTACTGATACCTAGAGGCGATATTTTCCTTCGTATAGTGGAGTAACCGACAGAAAAAGCTACTGACGTGAGAACTTATTGCCCTGTTTGGGGCATGACACACTGGGCACACTACTGAATGACACCAACACATCAGTGTCGCACAGGACACCTGGCACACAACTGACTGACACCGACACATCACTGAGCGAAGGCTTGGGCCGTTTATTCCTCTACACGACCAAAATATCGACTCTCTGTAGCCCCTAAGGCAATTAAAGAAGAGAAAAAGGAGCATCGAGAATCAAGGTCGCCGTCAAGACGATCCAGCACTACTCGCTTCACTTTGGAATACATTGTAAAGAGTCGAAACAACAGATAAATCCTTTAAATAATCTCCTTACACATGTTTAACAAGAGGTGACAAAGTTGTTCCATGCCAGTTTTCTTTACAACAGTTCGCCTTTGTCACAGAATCAACTGAAATATGTGAAAATTATGCCTATAGAACAATAAAAATAATGGTAATTATTATTATAATAATTATATAAGTTCTAAAAGTTTTCATAGGAAACATAAAACGTGAGCATTTTGTCAGAGAGAAAAATATACAAGAAATGCCAATCGAAAGTCTTGTTACGGTGTGGGGGGAGGGGATAAATAAGTGAGTTGCGGGAGTCCATTTAGAAGACTACGAGGGGGGTCCCATCTAGGATGCAAGGGTGAGCCAACAATACAGTCCTGTTGGTGGGAGATTATTATTATTATTTATTTTTTTTAACCTGCATTGCGATAGACGGCCTGTACATCTACAGCATGGAGGCCTTGCGTGCGTGAGTGTGGTCGGAGTGATCCAAGACACGAAGCTCAGTCAACCCGATCAAAGAAAAACATCAAAATATGTATACTGGGTGGATGAATGATGGGATGCTAGAACCCTTGATGCAGTGCGGGCTTCTCTACAATAGAGGCTAGAACTGAAGAAACGTAAACGTTTATAAATATCAACATGAGGCAAATATGACCACCGCTTCATAATACATAAGGGACTTGTGTACCCGAGAACTCCCAAAAAATGCCCCTTTGGTTCAAGGGGGGCGGCGCCCCTCCGGCCTTTAGAGCTGTGCTTCGTGAACAAGACCAGGAAAATTAGGTCCAGAGATTCCTCTCCCTCAACGTGTACCTGAAGACACAGTAAGGGCTGAGAGATAAGACTGGGGTGTGCAATAAAGGTTGGGAAATAGAGCTTAGAGAGACAGTTAAGGCCAAGAAATACAGAAGGTACCGAAATAATGAGGGCGAGGAGATAAAGCAGAAAGGAACAGCAAAGGTTGGAACACACCAAGTGTTAAGTAAAAGATTTATTATAACACACAGTAAGGGCTGGAGCTCTTAGTATGGGCTGGGATATAGTGAGGAGCTGGGAGATAGTGAGAGCTGGGAAATAGGATTAGACAACAGTAAGGACTAGGAGAAAGTAGTGGAACACAGTAATTACTAGGATATAATCAGGGTTGTGAGAGAGAGTTTGGACACATAACAGGGAATGCGAAACAAGGTTGAAACATAATAATGGTGGTGAAGTAACTATGACAACTCAATAAGGGCCAGAGGAGCGACACTCTCTTGTACCGGGGTTGGGTTCACGGTTACTCGCCTCCTGGAACATGTCCGGACGTCCTAACACCTCTTGGGTCCCTCAACTTACAATAATGTTATTTATGTCATTAAATTAGCAGGTACCATTGACAGACCTGTGGCGCCCTTTGTGCTAGTGGGGGGCATGGCCCCCCGCGAGCGCTCACGACGCCTCTAAAGAGGCAGGAGAACGTCCAGACGCTGCAGGCGGCTTAACACCTTCACACCGAGAGACTTGGGGGGATTGAATGTTGTGGGGATGGGAGCAGCAGCAGCGTAACCTTCTCCCTCCTGCTGCATCGCTGCTCCAGTGGGGATGGTGGAGGAACCTCTCCCCAAGTGGCGCAACCTCCGGCAGACCCGCCGCCCGAGACGCCGCTAGCGGCACAAACACAACACCAAAACACCCACGTACTGACACTAGCACGCGAACCCGGCCCCAGCCAGGCCCGTCCCTCGGGGCTCCGGGGCCCCTCGACCTCTCCTGAGGAAGGGTTGAGGGCCAGGGTGGGGCCGGGCAGCGCGCTAGGCAGCCTGAGAGACAGACAAGAAGAGACCAAGCCCAGGACGCACCAGGCGCCGGGCTGACCTACACCACAGCGGGTTGGGCGGGTCGCCACACAAACAATGCCAGTGATCCTCGCGGGACTCCGGCCTCCAACGGCCTCCCTGCCAAGGAGGTACCACCTTCAGGCAGACAAACCTCAGCGAGGCAAAAAACATGAACCAGACATGTCATGTAGGGCTCTTCAATCTTCTTCCTGCTTCCTGGGTCGCTGGAGCTGTGGCGGCATTCTTCCTAATATCCCTGCTCCACCCATCCCCATGCCGGCCATGGGGGCTCCGCTCCCCATAGTGGGTCCTCCCAGGGATTGTTTCTGGGTCCCTCCACTGGTTGTGTGGGGGCCAGGGGAAAGTGGAAGAGGGGAGCCCTGCGGGGTGCGTGCCTGGGGCGCCGACAGGGTGCAGGCCAGATCTAGCAAGGGGCTGGGAGCAGGGTGCTCCTCTGACAGGGACCGCACTGGCAGGTTGGGTCTCGCTACCTCGCCGCCCTCTTCCATGGACGATGACTCATGGAGTTCATAGCGAGCGTGTGTCCTCATGTGTCGAGTGATCATGTCCCGCCGGCACGCTGCATACGGACACTGTGGACACTTGTAAGGTTTCTCTCCAGTGTGTGTCCGCTGATGGGTGGAGAGATGGTCGGAGCGGGAGAACACCTGTCCGCAGACACGGCAGGTGTAGGGCTTGTGGCCCGTGTGCAGCCGCATGTGTCGCGTCAACATATCCGACCGTGCAAATGACCGCTTACACATGTCACACATGTAAGTCTTGCTGCTGGTGTCGATTTGTTTATTTTTATGACGTGAGGCCATGTGTTTAGCGAGACGGTCGTGGAGAGAGAACATCTGACCGCAGACAGGGCACACAAAGGCCACGTCGGCTCCTGCAGGCATCTCCTCCACCACTGGTGACACCTCCAAGTGGTATCGTAGCGCTACGCTATCCTTGGTGCTATACGATGCTACGTCACCCTTGATGATGGGGACGGGGAGATGCGCCTGTGAGAGAGTGCGATGATCAGGTGCACCAGGGGACCGTGGTGGTGGGGTGCTGTCTTTAGGTGGGGCGAGAAGCGGGGAGTGTGGGGATGAGAGGGAGACTGTGCTAGGCAGCACCAGGCTGTCTGTACTGGAGGTGCTACCGGTCTTGAGGCTGCTGCTGGTCTTGACGGACAAGTCCAGAGGGGAATCCTGGGGAGATGATGTGTCAGACTCAAGGGAGCCCCCCTTACGTGGCAGGTAGAGGGGCTGGGGAATGGGGCGACCGTGTCGCAGCACGGACTGTCGAGTCGAAGCCTGTTCGCCCGACGGTCCCGCAGCACTGCTGCTACTACTGCTGCTGCTAGCACCCACACCCTCGCTGCACCGACCCTTCTGCTCGAACCACAGCTGAAGATCCGAGTCTGAATGGGAACGGCGGCGATACAGATCCGGGAGGTAGACAGTAGGAGGGAAGTAGTGTTCTACGTTGTGGCCGGGGGAGGGGGAAATGGGCGTGTGCGGAGACGTGGGCGTGAGTGGCGAGATAGGTGAGTGTGGGAGACCTGAAGGACCCAGCCGATGGGGGTCCCTGGAGGCCAGAGTGCAGTGATGGCAGGTGCAGGGAGGGTAGTGGCCTCCTTGGTCTCCAGCGTCGCTGCGAACTACACTTAACTTGGGCAGGACACCGCGAATGACACCAGTCGATGAAGGCGCGTCACTCGATGACTGCGACTTCGTGTCCAGATCGATGTCCTCCTCATCTATACTAGGGTCCTTGATCCTCAGGGGGCTGAAGGAGAGTTTGGGGGAGTCGGAGTTAACCCTAGCGAGGGCAGGGGAGTCCCTGGCATGGGGTGAGTGTGAGGGAGGACCGGGGGAGAACACCTCTTCGTCCTCTTCACTGATGGCCCGGCAGTAGTACTGGTACCTCTCCCGGTCCTCAGAGTCGAACCTGAAGACGTCACTTTGGACAGCTCGAGGTGACCTGGCTGGGCCAGCACTGCCGCAGCTGCTGCTGGTACTGCTGCTGCTACTGCCTCCTCCTGCACCACCTCCTGATCCACCTTCCCCTGATCTGTGTACCTGTATCACGCCAGGGGAACGTTGCTGCTGGTGCTGCTGCTGTTCTGTGAGGGAAGTGGGTCCTACAGTCTCCCCCGGTCCCTCCTTCGGGGAGGGAGGGGTGTCAACTTTCATGGCTTCCTGGCCTGATTCATCGTGAACTGTGACTCTTGGACTGAGTCCAGGACTCAATCCGGGACTGAGGCCAGGGCTGACACCCGGACTATGACCGGGAATTGGACTATGACCGGGTACTGGACTGTGACCGGGCACTGGACTGTGACCGGGCACTGGGCTATGGCCGGAGACTGGGCTGTGTCCCGGCACCGGGCTGAGGCCGGACCCTGGACTCAAGCCAGGACTTATACCGGGCTCGTCCCCTTGGTCCTGGCCAGGCCCCGGGGACACATCCTCGGGCTGGCGGCTGAACATGGGTCTGGTGTCGGGCTGTGCCGCTGGAGGAGCGGCGGCGGGGTCTGGCGGCTTATCCTTCAGCGGGTTATCCCGCGGACAGGAGTCGTTAGCGGGCTTCTCGTCCGGCGAGCGTCGTTCTGCCTGCGAGGTCAACTCCAGCACGACCTGGCTGAGTCGCTTCCTCTTGCGCAGGGCCGACGATGTGTCGTGGTGGTGAGCGGGACTGGCGGTGATAGGGCCATGGTCGCCGCTTATCATCGTGGGCGAGGGCGGGCGTGGGCGTGCCCGGGGGCGGGTGCCGTGGGTAGGACCCGGCTGCCCCCGCCTCGGCTCATCGTCCTCGACGTTCCGAAGCCGGCCAGGGACACTCCTGAAACAACAATGACAACATCATATTACTTACTATCACTCTTAAAAGACCACCATGCTTATAATTATTAAAAATAGTAATAATAATAAAAATAAATTAATAATAATAATAATATTAACAATAATAATGATTTTTATTAACAATAATAATAATATTATTAACAATAATAATAATATTATTAACAATATTAAAATTATTATTATTATAATATTAGTATTATTATTACTGCGAGGCGACTAACATGCCGTGAGCAAGGGGGCAGCGACCCCCTTCACCTGGATACATTACACAAGTTAAAAACAAAAAGTTTCGTTTTCGTTTTCAATTCACCCGGACTAAATAACCCGAAATAACAAGTGTTCAGTTCTAAGTCTGAACACTACATCAATACACTACTACATCAATACACTACTACATCAATACACTACTACATCAATACACAACAACATCAATACACTACTAAAATCAATACACTAACAACATCAATACACTACAACATCAATACACTACAACATCAATACACTACAACATCAATACACTACAACATCAATACACTACAACATCAATACACTACAACATCAATACACTACTACATCAATACACTACTACATCAATACACTACTACATCAATACACTACAACATCAATACACTACTACATCAATACACTACTACATCAATACACTACTACATCAATACACTACTACATCAATACACTACTACATCAATACACTACAACATCAATACACTACTACATCAATACACTACTACATCAATACACTACTACATCAATACACTACTACATCAATACACTACAACATCAATACACTACAACATCAATACACTACTACATCAATACACTACAACATCAATACACTACTACATCAATACACTACTACATCAATACACTACTACATCAATACACTACAACATCAACATACTACTACATCAATACACTACTACATCAATACACTACAACATCAATACACTACAACATCAACACACTACTACATCAATACACTACTACATCAATACACTACTACCCTCAATACACTACTACATCAATACACTACTACATCAATACACTACTACATCAATACACTACAACATCAATACACTACTACATCAACACACTACTACATCAATACACTACAACATCAATACACTACTACATCAATACACTACAACATCAATACACTACTACATCAATACACTACTACATCAGTACACTACTACATCAATACACTACTACATCAATACACTACTAACATCAACACACTACTACATCAATACACTACAACATCAATACACTACTACATCAATACACTACTACATCAGTACACTACTACATCAATACACTACTACATCAATACACTACTACATCAATACACTACTACATCAGTACACTACTACAATCATTACACTACTACATCAATACACTACGACATCAACACACTACTACATCAATACATACAACATCAATACACTACTACATCAATACATTACTACATCAGTGCATTACTACATCAATACACTACTACATCAATACACTACTACATCAATACCCTACAACATCAATACACTACTACATCAATACACTACTACATCAGTACACTATTACATCAATACACTACTACATCAATACACTACTACATCAATACACTACTACATCAATACACTACTACATCAATACACTACTACATCAGTACACTACTACATCAATACACTACTACATCAGTACACTACTACATCAATACAATACAACATCAATACACTACTACAATCAGTACACTACTACATCAAAAACACTACTACATCAATACACTACTACATCAATACACTACTACATCAATACACTACAACATCAATACACTACTACATCAATACACTACTACATCAGTACACTACTACATCAATACCCCTACAACATCAATACACTACTAAAATCAATACACTACTACATCAGTACACTACTACATCAATACACTACTACATCAATACACTACTACATCAATACACTACTACATCAATACACTACAACATCAATACACTACTACATCAATACACTACAACACCAATACACTACTACATCAATACACAACTACATCAATACACTACTACATCAATACACTACTACATCAATACACTACAACATCAAACACTACTACATCAATACACTACTACATCAGTACACTACTACATCAATACACTACTACATCAATACACTACTACATCAATACACTACTACATCAATACACTACTACATCAATACACTACTACATCAATACACTACAACATCAATACACTACTACATCAATACACTACTACATCAGTACACTACTACATCAATACACTACTACATCAATAAAACTACTACATCAATACACTACTACATCAATACACTACTACATCAATACACTACTACATCAATACACTACTACATCAATACACTACTACATCAATACACTACAACATCAATACACTACTACATCAATACACCTACTACATCAGTACACTACTACATCAATACACTACTACATCAATACACTACTACATCAATACACTACTACATCAATACACTACACATCAATACACTACTACATCAATACACTACTACATCAGTACACTACTACATCAATACACTACTACATCAATACACTACTACATCAATACACTACTACATCAATACACTACTACATCAATACAATACAACATCAATACACTACTACATCAATACACTACTACATCAGTACACTACTACATCAATACACTACTACATCAATACACTACTACATCAATACACTACTACATCAGTACACTACTACATCAATACACTACTACATCAAAACACTACTACATCAATACACTACAACATCAATACACTACTACATCAATACACTACTACATCAGTACACTACTACATCAATACACTACTACATCAATACACTACTACATCAATACACTACTACATCAATACACTACTACATCAATACACTACTACATCAATACACTACTACAATCAGTACACTACTACATCAATACACTACTACATCAATACACCTACTACATCAATACACTACTACATCAATACACTACTACATCAATACACTACTACATCAATACACTACTACATCAATACACTACTACAAACAATACACTACTACATCAATACACTACTACATCAATACACTACTACATCAATACACTACTACATCAATACACTACTACATCAATACACTACAACATCGATTCACAAAACTTTATTCCAACAAAATTCTCCTCAATAAAGAAAACGGAAAATGTTTATAATAATATTTGCAGTAACAACATTATTAATATCAAATTCTTATTGACATGTATATACTGAGAGGCGTATATATCAGTATATACTGAGAGGCGTATATATCAGTATATACTGAGAGGCGTATATATCAGTATATACTGTGAGGCGCATATATCAGTATATACTGAGAGGCGTATATATCAGTATATACTGAGAGGCGTATATATCAGTATATACTGAGAGGCGTATATATCAGTATATACTGAGAGGCGTATATATCAGTATATACTGAGAGGCGTATATATCAGCATATACTGAGAGGCGTATATATCAGTATATACTGAGAGGCGTATATATCAGTATATACTGAGAGGCGTATATATCAGTATATACTGTGAGGCGTATATATCAGTATATACTGAGAGGCGTATATATCAGTACATACTGAGAGTCGTATATATCAGTATATACTGAGAGTCGTATATATCAGTATATACTGAGAGTCGTATATATCAGTATATACTGAGAGGCGTATATATCAGTATATACTGAGAGTCGTATATATCAGTATATACTGAGAGTCGTATATATCAGTATATACTGAGAGGCGTATATATCAGTATATACTGAGAGTCGTATATATCAGTATATACTGAGAGTCGTATATATCAGTATATACTGAGAGTCGTATATATCAGTATATACTGAGAGGCGTATATATCAGTATATACTGAGAGTCGTATATATCAGTATATACTGAGAGTCGTATATATCAGTATATACTGAGAGTCGTATATATCAGTATATACTGAGAGTCGTATATATCAGTATATACTGAGAGGCGTATATATCAGTATATACTGAGAGTCGTATATATCAGTTTTATACTGAGAGGCGTATATATCAGTATATACTGAGAGGCGTATATATCAGTAAAATACTGAGAGTCGTATATATCAGTATATACTGAGAGGCGTATATATCAGTATATACTGAGAGTCGTATATATCAGTATATACTGAGAGTCGTATATATCAGTATATAGTGAGAGACGTATATATCAGTATATACTGAGAGTCGTATATATCAGTATATACTGAGAGGCGTATATATCAGTATATACTGAGAGGCGTAAAATATCAGTATATACTGAGAGTCGTATATATCAGTATATACTGAGAGGCGTATATATCAGTATATACTGAGAGGCGTATATATCAGTATATACTGAGAGTCGTATATATCAGTATATACTGAGAGGCGTATATATCAGTATATACTGAGAGTCGTATATATCAGTATATACTGAGAGGCGTATATATCAGTAAATACTGAGAGTCGTATATATCAGTATATACTGAGAGGCGTATATATCAGTATATACTGAGAGTCGTATATATCAGTATATACTGAGAGTCGTATATATCAGTATATACTGAGAGGCGTAATATCAGTATATACTGAGAGTCGTATATATCAGTATATACTGAGAGGCGTATATATCAGTATATACTGAAAGTCGTATATATCAGTATATACTGAGAGGCGTATATATCTGTATATACTGAGAGGCGTATATGTCAGTATATACTGAGAGGCGTATATATCAGTATATACTGAGAGGCGTATATATCAGTATATACTGAGAGGCGTATATATCAGTATATACTGAGAGGCGTATATATCAGTATATATCAGTATATACTGAGAGGCGTATAT